CCTGCGGGGCCGGAGAGGAGGCAGAACCGTGGGAGTCTCTCCGGCTCTGCCAGCTTCCGCGGTAAAGTATCGGGAGACATACCGAGTGTAGGTATTTTAGGACCAGTGAACTGAGGGAAGTCCTCCTAAATCATTAAATCAAGCCGTGAAATATAATTTGTTGTGCTTTTGGTATCCTTACCTGGACTCAGCTGGAAAGTAAGTGCTTTTTGTCCCTCCTGCTCTGTCTGGAGTCACACCTCTGTACAACCTTCCCCAGTCAGGAACATCCTGAATTCAGGCTTTGACTGATGCTAGTCAGCATTGCCATTTAGTCTAAATTAACTGTTTCGTGAACATGTTGCTCTAAACATTCTTCTCGTGAAATCTAGGGTGGGATGCCCTTGAAGATGAAGATATCTACATATAGTCAATAGAGATGTAGGTTTTCATCCAGTGGCTTAAGTGGCTTTAGCTGACATGTGCTGGGGTGTTTGAGAGGTAAACAGGACTGGGAGATATGATGTGATCAACAGGCGATTCATTCTTTTCTGGAGTGCGGCTGGGCAGCAGGGGGAAGAAGCTGAAGCACCTAATGGCTTTAGATGCGTTTAGGACACGGAGTCAAGCCCTATTCTCATGTAGTCAATGGAGCAAAAGAGCTGTCTTTTTTCTTAAATCCACGCAAACTTTTCAGCCTTTTCTAGAACTTTCCCTCCGTGTTTGTCCTCTGTTTTGGAGGCTACTGTCTAAATTTTTTTCTTTTCATTGTTGATATTTATTCTTAGCTCACTTTTAGAGAACAACCTGAATCAAGCTATTCAATTTTTTGGTATCTTCATTCCATTTTGAATAGATACCTGAACAGGTACAGTGGACAAGTGGGCAGACCTGTTCAAAGCTGATCTTGCTGATCTGATAAAATGGGCTGAGGCTATTTGTATTGTTGTCTGCATGGGAAATAATTTGACTGATACATCCGATTATGCAAAGCTGCATTACTTTGATTTCTTACACTTACTGTGTGATTGACTTGTTTATTTTTAAAGTTGCTTCAGACTTAAAGTTTTGTGATACCTAACTGTGGTCCGTGGTAGGTGTCATATGGTTACTTACAAATATGTGTCATTTGAAGTACTGAATTTCATTATACTGGCATTACTTCTGTTACTGGGGTTATTCTTTTTTTCCTCATTAATTCCACTTGTTTTTCTGTTGATGATTCTGCAATCCCAATTTTTACTTCAGAAAACACTGAAGGTGAAGTGTAAAAAGAAAAGAAAAAAGCTTGCCTCAGATGTATTTATAGAAATACTTAGTAGAGATTGGTCCCAATCAAATTCTATTCAGTATTTCAGTAAATAAATTTGTATTTATGAACTTCCTTGTAGCCCAGTAGCTCCCCTGTCAGTGCAACCTAGTATTGTTTTTTTTCTTCAGAACAGTTGGTTTTCCATTTCCCATGCTATTTCTGATTTCCTTTTGCTAACCTGATCTTTTCTCACGTGGCATTGTATTTATGCCCAGCATAACATATTTGTCTGTAAATACTTATATTTAAATGTGTTTGGAGTGCTTTGTTTATTATCTTTGTCTTGGTAACTTACAGATATTCCTATCTGCTAGTGAGATATATATATATTGAGCTACCTAAATTTCCAGCCTTTCTTTTTGGCTGTCAAGTTATGTTACATCTGACAAAGTCAGAATCCAGCTCTTGAGTTTACTTCAGTTCTCTCTCTGCATGTTGTCCTTATCACTCAAGACAAATGTGCCATCTTTCTAGCAGTTTTAGAAGCTGAAGACAAAGCAGTATCTTTGAGGTGTTTTTCCATGTTCTGTCCCTAAAATCAGCCTTCCCAGTGCTTGGACAATCAAGACAGACTTCCTCGACTAGTCCTTGTCTAAAAGGTAGACTGTAATTAATATTACAGCTTTATCTAACTGATTTGGGCTCATACCATTTTAAAGAAGTAGTTCTAGTCTTTACCATCAGCTGGATTTTCTTCATATGCTTCTGCTGCTTTTAAGCTGGGGTAAGCATTCCTGTTAACATGTGAAGAGCTATTATTTTGTCATCTTCATCTTTCCTTATGCCCTACCTCTTCTCTGTTACTTGTGAATCCTAGTTCATTGGTTGTCCATGGAGGTCGATTTGTTCCCGTGCTACTTTTAAATGTATATAAAACCAGAACTAAATATGTATTTCTCCAGCTAACTAAACTATGGCAATTCTTTGTTGTATTGATTTGCTCATGCCCTGTTTGCCTTTCTCTTTATTTTATGTTTTGGATTCTGTCTGGTATGAAAATGTCAGCGTAATGCCTTACACAGTAAAGTTTAATTTTGATGAAGTCTCTCTTAGGTCTGTTATACCATTAGCCTGAGCTAGAATGTCTGTTTAGGTTTTATGTCAGTTCCTATTCATTTTCCTCCTTTATGTATATGACAGCAAATGATAATTAAAACATTTTGTTTTCCAGATAACTTTATTTCTTGTCTCTGCACTTCAAATGGGACATGCATGTTTAGGTGGCTAACTACAGGAACATCAGAATGCCTAATCTCGAACATCCAGCATACCCAGCAGATACACTGCTTCACTTGGAAAGTTTGGTGCCTTGTCGAGAATCCCAGGTGTCCATGTTGCTGTCAATATTTGGAGAGGTAGTGCTTTTCATATTGTGTGTTTCAATAGAACAAAGATGTTCTGCTGTCTCAGAGGGGAGAGTAGAAATTTAAGGGCATTTTTGTGATGTCATAAACATACTTTTGTTGCCTTTTTTTAAATTTGTTACCTATCTTTAACATTAGCAATTGGCTGATAAATTCTAGTAAGTTTGAAGGTTGAAAGCTGTTTTACAGCTGGAAGGACCCAAACAAAATTGCAGCTATTTGTGCCTTGCTGTCTGTGAAGCCTGGTTTCTCCATCACAGCTGGAAGTACCCAAACAAAATTGCAGCTATTTGTGTCTTGCTGTCTGTGAAGCCTGGTTTCTCCATGACTCTTCCACCATTGCCACTTAGTACCAGGAAGCAGGTCTGTTGTCTTCCCGGGTCTAAAATCGTAAAATCATAGAACAGTTTGAGTTGGAAGGGACCTTAAAGATCATCTGGTTCCAACACCCAACCATGAGCAGGGACATCTTCCACTAGGCCAGGTTGCTCAGAGCTCCATCCAGCCTGGCCTTGAACACTGCCAGGGAGGGAGCATCCACAGCTTCTCTGGGCAACCTATGCCAGTGTTTCACCACCCTCATGGTGAAGAATTTCTTCCTAATATGTAATCTAAATCTGCCCTCTTTTAGTTTAGAGCCATTCCCCCTTGTCCTATCACTACACACCCTTGTGAAAAGTCCCTCTCCATCCTTTCTGTAGTCCCCTTTCCGGTACTGAAAGGCTGCTCTAAGGTCACCCCGGAGCCTTCTCCAGGCTGAACAGCCCCAACTCCCTCAGCCTGTCCTTGTAGGAGAGCTGCTCCAGCCCTCTGATCATCTTCGTGGCCCTCCTCTGGACCCGCTCCAACACATCCATGTCCTTCCTATGTTGGAGGCTCCAGAGCTGCATGCAGTACTCCAGGTGGGGTCTCACAAAAGCGGAGTAAAGGGGCAGAATCACCTCCCTCGACCTGCTGGCCACGCTTCTCTTGATGCAGCCCAGTATATGGTTTGCTTTCTGGGCTGCAAGTGCACATTGTTGAGCTTCTCATCCACCAGTACCCCCAAGTCCTTCTCCTCGGGGCTAAAATTCTGGGTTTTTTTTTTTTTCAGTGGCAGTATAAAAATCTGTTTGGTTTTGACCTGTTAATCTAATAACTGCATGCCTGAATTCTAAGTATATGAAAGTGATCTGATTCTTAGTTGTTCTGTTGCTGGCTGTAAGATTTGGAAATCGTTGGCTTGTTAACTGATTCTGTTACTGCTTGGTGAAATTGTGGTAAATAGTAATGGAGGTGTTTTTCCACAGACTTGTAAGCAGTTGATATATTCATTTACATTCAATTAATAACATGGAAATTAGTATCTGTTCCTGGTTCTACCTTTAATTATAGGTAATAATAATTACATCAAATGACAGCATTGAAGTTTTACGTATTTATTACAAGCATAGTGGCAACAAGCCTTCTTTAAAAAATAGATACTTAAAATCTTGTTAAATATGCCGGTTAGAGTATCTGAATATCTTGCACAAGAGTGCCTTCATCTTGGACTAACTGAATATCATTGTTTTTCTTAGAAAGTGCTTGTCAAATTTATTTTTATATTTGTTTTTTAAGTCAATGTACAAGATTCTTAGAAAAGAGAAAAACACAAAAATAAATACCTGTGCAGAATGAAATAAAAAGAATGAGTTAGTTATTCTCCTTGCATCTAAAAAAAATTAATCCATGAAATGTACAGCATCAGTACCATTAAGTAAATGGATATGTTATATCAAATATTGCCTTGTCAGAGAAGAGCATGCTCCTTTACCATTTCCTCCACCAAACCATTTCATTCTTTTCTGTTTGGTGCTAATGGAAGGAATAGCAGTTTGTGGTGTTTGCAAAAGTTAGGACAATGTAAAGCTTGCAATTTGTGCATGCCAATATTTTGTTTCAGTTAGTTAACTAATTTCAATTAAGAGCCCACTGCTTTTCTCTCGTGTGTGTTTTTGTTGTTTGTTTTGGTTTGGTTTTTGTTTATTTTTCCCCTGAAAAATATATCCTTATCTTATAGCAGTTTCACTGGTAGCTGTATGTAATACTTGATTCTTGGGACTTACCCTCCCAGCATTTCAGTGAAGATGTAGCATAAAACTTGATCATGTTGATTCCATAACAACTGGGGTACTTTATATTTAATGCCTCAATTTAAAAGATAATTTTCCTTTTGGAGGAAAACTTAATTGGTAAATCCTTTACCTGTTGAATGAAAAAGAAGAATTGAAGCAGCAATAACTTAAAATTTTTTATCCTCTAGCGTCAGCAGTTTAGTTTTCCATCCATCTTTATCTATGGACATACATCTAGTGGAAAGACCTATGTGATGCAAACGCTTCTAAACACCTTACAGGTAAGAATGTTCACAATGGATATTGAATTTGGAATTTATTTGTAACAGATGGCCACTCAGACTAGCTTCTACATACTTAAAATGGTGTTTCCTCAGCCCTTTCTGCCTTCTTGATTCTTTTCCCCTTGCAGTGTGATGAACGCATCACTTTTCTCACTAGTGCACTTAGGATAAAGTGAATTCATGCATACTGAGATGTAATATAAATCATAATATCTTTTCTAAGAAAGTTTGAAAAGGAAAAAAGGAGCTAAATTTTGTTCAGCTCTCAAAGGGTCTTAACCTGAAATAGCTCCAGTGACAAGTAAGTGCTCTTATGATGATTCCAGTTCAATCTGAGAGTCACTTATAGTATACTTTTTTTGAATCTTCTTATAATTCTCCTTTAAACTAATATTATTTGTGTGTGAAGAGAGTGAGAAAGTATATGAAGAACAGTGAGAAGAGTTTGCAGTAGTGGAATTTTGTGTTATTTGTTTTGTGTTAACAAACTCATTTTAATCATATTCAGTTGGATGTGTATGATCTATTTAAATGTCAGCCTAAGAGGTTAAACTTAGTAAAGTTGTTAAAAGCATTCAAAGCAAACATAAAAGCTATACATGTTTGCTGAAAAAAAAAAAAGGGTGAATCTGGAATGGTGAAAATCACTGGCTGAATACCAGGGAACTGCCATTCTTTGATACTGATAGTTGTTTTTACAGACTCAGGGTGAATTCATTGCCACAAATTTGATTAGTTCCAATGAGCCCTCTAGTAGAAGCAGGAAAATCTATCTTTCACTCTCATAGATTGATACTCCAGGTTTGTCCAGACTGCACGTATTACATATCTGCAGGAATGTTTTTTATGCAAAACACAGTGATCTTGTCCCTTTCATTAAAAATTCTGCAGAGGAAGAAAGGTGGAAGATGGTGGACATGATCGTCTTCATCCAGTAGCCTTTTGTGCAGTGCTCCTAACACTGTGCTACCCACTTGCAACATATCCAAAGACGTGGGCAGATACTGGAAAGGAATAGCATTGAAGCAGCAGCTCTTTCTACAGAGCTTCTTACTGCCAAGTATAGCTGTCTTCTACATAATGTGGTGGTGTGAATCACATCTGAGGCACCCAGCTTTGCTTCTGCTGTGGAGGTGCTTTTGGTGATGTAGTCCCTTTCTTTTAATAGTGTTCAAATTCATAAGAAAGCTTTTTATTACACACTGTTTAAGTGGATTGCCAGCATATAACCACGCTTTCCCACATCTGCTGAATCATATGCCGTATATTGTATTTTAAGTAGAAAGACTGGAATGAAGTACTTCAATGATTTTTTTTTTTTGTGGTTATACACACACATTCCTGTATCAGAAGTTTAATTTTGCAAGTAATGCATATGTATCCCAATGACTAATGTTTTCCAGAAGTTCTAATGTTCAGTGTAAAAAAGAGCATATGCCTTACCAGAGAGTATGGAGCTATGCAAATAATCTATTTCTTACAAAGAGAATTGCTAGAAAAGTACATTTTTTGCCTTATGTAGGTTTGAATATTGGTACTATTTTGTAGTCTATAGTGTCTTCTATTTATAGACAAATGACCACAACTTTTCAATATTACTAAATTGGTACTTAAAAGTACATTTTATTGATTGCCATAAAATACGTCTCATACTCTGCTTTTTTCACGTGCTCTTTTGCTCTGAAAAGATCTGGTTTTCTAAAAAATGTTCTCCACAAGAAGGCTGATTACATGTGTCTGATACAGAAGCTTACACTTTATCATTTGTATGTAGTGAATGCCAAAAACACTCAGTAATTTGGGGATTGTGCTCCTAGATTACTTTCTTTGTAATGCAAGTTTGAGAAGTTCATGTTATCTAGACACTGTAATTTGTAATGGACTATTTTGCAGTACTGTAATGTGTTATGAATGTCTAACTTTTCTTTGAACTAAATGCTATTTGGTTTTCTATTTATGTGTTGGTACAATTTTTAAATGTAATTAGAAGACACACTGTGTGCTTTGTATGAGGATTCATCAGATCTATCTTCACTTTGTTGGTATACAATATTTTGACTATGTACATAAGCAATCATTCTTTTTTGGCAGTGTTTTTTGGTTTATGCTCTATGTTCTGTTGGCAAGGTGTGGTTTCTTTCATTGTCTCATCTGGAAGAGAAAATTGATTCTGGAGTTATTTACACTGAAAAAGCAAAATAAAGTTGTATCTTTTTTTATCCTTTTCAGCTTCCTCATGTGTTTGTGAACTGTGTGGAATACTTTACTTCACGACTACTTTTAGAAGAAATTCTCATCCAGTTGCAAAGCTGTTCTTCTGAGACAGAACAGACTTCTCATGTGCCTTGTGATACTTTCAATGACTTTGTACGTCTGTTTAAACAAGCTGTTGCGAGTCGAGAGCTTCAAGATCAAACATTATACATTGTAAGTAATTTAATTTTAGTGTTCTGGTTTAATTTCACTTAAGAGGGTGTGAGTAATTGTTATGAATAATCTATTTGTGAAATGTGTGCATAATAGAGTAGTTTTCACAAAATTTCCGTGTGGACCTAATTCAGAATCTGTTAATACTGGTTAGATTCTTCTAGTTGGTTTACTGGCTTTAGACGAGGTTCTTTATTTTTCCTGTTGTTAGAACATTTTAGACACAAAAACTTTATAGCATAACTAATAATGAACAGGAATTATACCACATAGTTAAATTAAGTGTGTAATAATATTACAAAATCCTTAAATATGGAGAGCCTGTATTTGTTTTAGAATTAGTAAGTCATGCTTATCTGTTGCCTTGTGAAGATAGCTTCACAAATGAGAAAGCAAAGGTGGTAAGCAGGGCAGAAGCGAATTATGAAGCATGCAAATGACAAGAATTGTTTGGATAGAATAGGTTCAAGTTAGAAGTTGTATTAAGGAACTAAAATGCATAATTTCCTCTGTAAAACACTGTTGAGATCTCACATCTTTAACTACGCTTGTGGGCCTCAGAGACAATAACTGTAGTTTTAAAACAGATGTAAAAAAAGACTACAGTGAAAAATTTTATGATATACTCAAGTGGAATAAATGGGCAGACCACAGAAAAAATAATGTGAATTTAGATCGCAAAATGCTTGAATCAGTGTAGTACCAGAATGTTAGGGTTTGGGGTTTTTTTCTGTGATAACTACATAAAGGAGTAAAAATTTGCAGAAATCTGTAACAGCATTTATCGTGCTGAGAGACAGACATAGAAACAAATTTCAGGCATACAAGAGGTCTGAAGAACGGACATAGACTCCTCAGAACTACATTTTTTCCCTAGCTCCTACTTGGTTGAATAAAATCTATTCTCTTTTCTTAAAAATACGAATGCAGTAATATTAGTGATGTTTAACTGTATGCATCATGGACCTACAAAACACATGGACTGTAATTTCAGCCCAGCAGTAGGAATTAAGGGTTTGTTGAGAAACCTATTATTGAAGAAAACTTGGAAGTGGGTGAAGACTGAAAGCGTAATGACCCTGGGTAATCACTCTGCATGTTTCTGACCGCAGTCAACAGGCATACTGCCTTGTTTTTTTTGCAGTCAAAGTAGTAGTTCAGAATTACATTGAGCATTCTTCATTCTGTTTCACAGGTTATAGTTAAATAAGTTTTATTTCCATTTAAAAATATGTAACTACTGAGTTAAATAACTTCATGTTATGTTTAGTGGAAACAGTACTATTTCACAGTTTCCTACAGCTCATGAAGTTCATAAATTTGACATGCTGCTTAAAAATTTAATGAAGAAAAAATTCACTAGTACTTACAATAGATAAGAAGTTATACATAGATAATTCATTTTAATTTACTGTCACAGAAGTGTTGAGAACAAAATTTAGCACTACAATAACCTTTAGGGAATTTCACAAAATATATAGTAAAATTTTACTTTGAGATTAAAATTTGAATTAAAAAACTGTTCTACATCAGTAAAGAATGTTTCATGTGTTATATGAAAATTAGTGTCACTCAGAAAATTAGAAAGTTCTTGAACAATGGTTATAGAAAACAAAGTATTAAATACCTAGAAAGGTTCAATTGTATCATGTAAACAGTTGCTGAATCAGAAGTATTAAATTAGTATTTCAGTTCCGTTCTGCATGGGAACAGACAGGAATCAGGTAAATCAATTCATGTGTATTAACCTGTGTCATCTGGATTTATTGTACAATGGTCTAAATTGAGACTAATGGAATACCAGCATGCTGGTAACATAAACTGGCAATGATAATTTATTCTGTTTCATTTTGGTAGTAAATAATGTAGTATTTCAGCCCAATTAACTCAGAGCAAATTGAGATAAATGTTTACTTTCAAGCAAAGGATTCTTAATGTTTCTCTTAACCCAAGCATGGGTGCTGAATGCTTGTGATTACTTGTGAAAAATGAATTTATTCATTCTAACTACATGAAAAACTGGAACAGGTATAACTTGTAGTCATTCATAGATTTACACAATATTTAGCACTTGACAGAAGTAACAAGCTGCTCTTTTTAATGTAAATCATCAGACAGTTCTGAAATGTATAGTTTTTAAAAAATGCTGAGGGGTGACAAATCTATATCAAAACTAAAGAATAAGGCATTGCTTTATAGGCCTGTAGGTACGCTGTTTCTGTGAACAACTTCACATAGTCCTCAAGCCAGGGTCACAGTGTATTTTCTCTGCTGTAAGTAAAAACTCTAGTTTGTTTTGCGCTTAACTAAAAAGTAACATCTACCTAGGTCAAGGCCTTAAAGCTTGGTGTTGAGCAGCTGCGTGTCACTGGGTCCAACAAGCAATATTTTACTAGTAAAAATATGTAACCTCTGTTTGGTCAGTACTGTAAAGCAGTCTTAATCCCTAAGTAACTTATTATATGAACCAAATGCAGATGTCAATATAAAATCAGATGTTATATTGTAGTTTTAAATAAATTCCCAAGAAGCATGAGCTATTATTGCAGAGATGCTGCTCTTTCATTTTTTTTTCCTGTATGGTATGATTTTGAAATACTGTTTTCATAAAATGTTTCTTGGTTGTCCACATAAAGTACTTTTTCTTACTGTGGGTAACAGAAATGATGTGTGTCTTAAATATTTTGGTGTGGGGAGGAAATGTAAAAAGATAGAAAAATATAATTTTCTAGGGATCTGTAGTTTCTCTTTCAACAGTAGTAATTCGAAAGAAGTAATGAACTTCTGAATTTAGATTTATATTGTGACTAGTAAATAAAACACACAAGAAATGTGTTTCTATTCTATTTTTTGATTCCTGTCAAGTTTTTAAGTGTAGTGGGAATATGAATTTTTTTGTTAAAGGATAGCAGTGCATGTTTTCATGCTCATATTTTTTTTCTCTGGGCTCCAAAATATGTTAGTTGTTTAGATAAGGTGTTTCCTGTTTAAGCTACATGTGCTACACATTTTTTAGTGCCATGACAAGTTTACACACGATACAATAAATCCTTCTAGGATGCAAACTATGGCAAGAAAAGTTTATCTCAAAATTCGTTTGTGTGAATTCCAGATGATAGCTAACTTTTTGAAAATACCAGCTCTTACTTGTTTCTGAAAAATAGTTTCATAGTGGGAAAATATAGCTGTTCTACAGTAAGCATGTTGATATAGTGCTACAGTACTTTACATACTTTGTAAGAAGAATTTTGGAGAGAAATTGAGGTTTCAGCGGTTGTTAATGGTATCATTGATTTGTCAGTGATATTCTTGGCTGGTATACTTATGGTTTAATTCTTACTGCCATAAGGCGTGAGAATGTTGCTTGCCTGGGGATCGTATCTTTTATTAGATGGCAGAGCTGCTTGGGCTCCCTGGAAGCACACCTGAAGCAATAATCTCTCTGATGTTGCTTGTTTAAGGGACCTTGATACTTAATGTGGTTTCTGTCTTAAGAGCCATTGGTGAAAGGAGTTTCCAGCAGCTAAGAATTAATTTTTAAGTCCACGTGAGAATAGAAATTGACATTGTCTATATAATAAGATCATTGTTTTGTTAAAAGGTACTGGATAGAGCAGAGCAGCTGAGGGAAATGGAAGCAAACGTCCTGCCAGCGTTTCTTAGGCTTCAGGAGTTGGTAAGTGTCTGGAAAAAAATTAACGTATGTTGCCTGCATATTGAAAGTAATTGAGCACATGATATCTGTCTGTGTAGACTCACAGATCAAGAGAAGTGATTCTTTAGATGAGCAAAGTTGCAAAATTAATTAATCCTCCCCCAGTAATAACTGACAGTGGTCAAAACTAGAAACAAAACCAGAATTTAAACATTGGCAGGTTTTTCTAACAATCTTAATTATTTTTTTTTTAATTTTGTTTAGTAGTATCTTGTTTTACAATATCTGATCTGTTGTAGATTCTTTTGAGGCTGATGTCAGATACATAGATGTCTTTTCTAGAATATTTTTGTTTTTAAGAAGGAAGTGAATTTTTTCTGCTCTTCATTTAGAGTTTTATAATTGCAAAAAAAAAAAATCTCAAGCAGACTACAATCTATGAGGAGAAGCTTCAATGTAGCTTCTGTTGGCTTGGTAGAAACAAATAAATAAAACCCTTTTTAGAGTTTGTCAGATGTTTCTGCAGGAATCCGAAGTCTGCTTGTGAGTCAGCTGCTCATTCAAGAGAACCAATTCAGCATCAGAAGCATGAATTTGCAATTTGGGAAACGTTTATTTTCCTCAAGTTTCTCCTATGTGAAATTTCCCAGCGTTGCATGGTGGCTGACTTGAGAATGGTCAGCAGACCACCAGCTATTTAATTGTGGCTGAAGCTGCACAGCTCAGCAGCTGCGAATGTGCTTTATGATAGCAGATAATTTTTACACTTCTACTGGAGTTGTGCCGTGTATGTTTCTGATTGGAGAAAACTTCTGTATCTTTCCCTCTCTGACTTCTGAAACATCAAAGCTTATGCCTTGGAAAAAGGAAAAATAGTGCATTCTCTGAAAAGAAAGACAAAACGAAAAGACAGTGATATTTTGAAATGTCTGAACATCTAAATAGCTGAAATTATACTTGTTATCTCAAGACTTGTGTGGTACTCCTTCTGATGACATTGATTTCTCTATTTACTGAACGAAGACTGAGCTGTGCTCTTAATCCTGGGAGCTGGTGCATTTTCTGTCTCTTTTTGTCTGTTCTGCCCATGTTCTGGATTTTGCCACCCCTGAAGCAGAAACAACCTGACAGAGAGAAAGGAGGAAAAGTTAGGCCTACGATTGCTGTTCATGGACCAAAAAAACATAGGCTAAGACTTAAATATGCTGAAGAAACATCCTCAAATGCAAAAGTAACGTCCAGATAAGTAGGTTGGGTTTCCTGAATGCTGAGATTGCAGTTGCTTAAATTCTGGATTCTGGACTGAGGCTTTGTAAAACTGTTGTGAAGCTGATGTTGCAGAGAAACGTTGTAGGAGCAAATCAATAGCATCACTTCCTTTCCTGGAGTGAAAGGAGACAACAAACTTCATTAGTGGTGAAAGACTTCATGGGACTGGGGGGATCATTGGCAAAGAATGGGTCATAGGATGCTTGATTTCTGTGAGGATTATGGTGGGAATCACAGAATCACAGAATAGTAGGGTTTGGAAGGGACCTCTGTGGGCCATCTAGTCCAACCCTCCTGCCAAAGCAGGGTCACCTACAGCAAACTGCACAGGACCTTGTCCAGGCGGGTCTTGAATATCTCCAGAGAAGGAGACTCCACTTAGTTTTTTTGTATTGGTAGGTCTATCAGGAACCAAACTGAAAATACCTTAGTACTTTTCTCAGCTAAAATACTAGGAAATCTAGGAGAAGAAAACAGTTGAAAGAAACCTACAGAAAGATGCTCCCTTATTAAAAGAAAAAAAAATTCCATATAAATAGAGAAAGAAGAAACAGTAAAGAATCTAGGTGGGTGCTACTTTGGCAAGAAGTGGGACGTGTAAATAAAAGAAGATTCTCCCTGAATTTCAGGGAAGGGGAACAGCATTTAAACTTTTCTTTCAAGTCATTCACAGCTCATATTAAGCATTGTCAATTCAGTCAGGTTACTTCCTTTTATTTTATTGAGGTGCCTCGATAGTTTTGAAATTCCCTTCTTGAAGAACCATATTTAAAAGCATCTTTTGTTATGCAGAATTTTTAGTATGGTTGCAGAAACCTTGCAAAAAGGAAGAATGATGCATGATCTTCACAGATGGTTAGCTTCATAGTAAAAAGCAGATGTACTGAAGGGTGACCAAAATAAGGGATTTTTTTTTTAATAGTGTTTTGTTATCTCTTGACCAACACATGAAACTCAAGGCAAGTATATTGTGGAAAACTTGGTTAAAAAGAATATGTTACTACCTACAGCCATTGTTGGTAACTAGTAAAACAGGTGGTAGAGTACACAGTTAATACTATGTTTTTGTTTTGGGATGTTTTTTCTTTGTTTTTAAAGACCAGCTTATCTCTAAAATGAAGTACTCGGTAGCTCGGTTTCAGAAAGCACTGAGCTTTGTTTCACTTTTAACTCTTCCTGTCATGAAAGTCTGGGTTTAATTGCAAAAGTGAAATACTGTCTTAATTTTGGGAGTAAAGTATGGAATCTACTTGGTATTGTCTAGTACCAGAGCTCTATAACCCCACAAAGCATGTCAGTGAAATGGCAAGGAATGCAGAGAAATCTCATGTAATTATGAAAATCTGCAAATGTATGAGCTTCTTGATTAGGCCAGCTGAAACTTTGTCACTATGCTAGTGATTTGTATTCAACTGTAAATTTGCTGATGTTTGTGGAACAGAAAAGTCACAATAATAATTTTTCCCGTCGATACTGTAACATGCAGTGTTATTTTTTTCTTTCTCTGCCTGTCTGTCACTCTCTCTCATCTTTTTTTTTTTCCCTTACCTGTGCAGACTGATAGAAATGTGACAGTTGTTCTGCTCAGTGAAATAGTATGGGAACTGTTCCGTCCAAGTACTGGATGCTTTGAGCCATTCACCTTGTATTTTCCTGATTACAGCATAGGTAAACTAATTCTTTAATCTGCTTTTCGGGGTTTGAATAGTACTTTGTCAAAAAACATCCAAATGTTTTTTCTACGTTTATCAGTATGCCTTTTACAGAATTTGGAATATGTAATAGCTACTGGAATGTAAAAGTCTATATTCACACAACCTCTGAAATACTTGTCGTTTTCCACTTGCCAAACCATCTCAAAGTAACATTTTGGTTCCTTGATATTTGCGATTTCTTTTAATCAGTGTAGTTTTCAGTGGTTTCTGGATTATTATAGTTTGTTTTTTCCACTTAACTTGTAAAATGTGGTCAGTTTATTAAGTTTGCTTTAAGTAAGCAAAACTTATTTTTGTTTAAACAGGGCACCTGCAGAAGATCTTGTCTCAGAATCATCCCCCAGAATATTCTGCAGATTTCTATGCTGCATATATCAATATTTTGCTTGGTGTCTTCTACATGGTCTGTAGGGATCTGAAAGAGCTTCAGCATCTGGTGAGATGAGCTCCTTTAGAGTTACTGTTTTGTTTTGGGAGGTTTTTTGCCAAATAAGCTCTGAAAGTCTAGATTTATTGTTGAATATGGACCAAGAGATAAATCATAGAATAGCGTGGGTTGGCAGGGTCATTGCAATGAGCAGGGACATCTTCAGCTACAATAGGTTGCTCAGAGCCACGTCCAGCCTGACCTTGAATCTTTCCACAGATGGGGCATCGACCATCTCTCTGGGCAACCTGTTCCCGTGTTTCACCACCCTCATTGTAAAAAATTTCTTCCTTAAGTCTAGTCTAAATCTACCCTGTTAAGAATGTGTTAGCTCAAAATGCAGTTTACTGAAAAAAGTGTAACAAAGGTTGCAATTGTTTTGGTGGCTGTAAAGAGTTTCTATTGCTGTGCAGTTTTCTGGTCAGAGGCAAAAAAAGCTGCACTAACGGGATGCCAGTCTGTGTGTGGTTCACCCGGCCTAGAACTTCTGTTGGGGTTTTTGAGCTTAAGCTGTTCCTTGATATCAGGGAGTGACTAGAAGACTAGGCTACCTGTCTTCACCTACTGGGATAAGGAGAAATGTGATGAAACCTTTTATGCTTACTGATAAAGTATAGCAGAAGCAATTGCTGCAACTGCAGCAGTTTTTGAGGGACAACTCCATTATAGGCTTGGTTAATGATTTTGTTTGTTTGTTTGCAATTCAATCAGAGAAAGTAATAATTATGATTTTACTCTTTCAAGCGATCGTAGGCCTGACTGTACTTCTTTTCAGTTCTTTTTGCATGAGGTTATGTGACTTTGCTCTTATTGCTAACTTCTTGCTTGTATGGACTTCTGTAATCCCTGAATAGTCTGCTGTTGTATTGGTTTCCTGGCCTATGCAGTAGAATGCTAGACAATTGCTTTCGACATTTGGAGGAATAACTTCACTTACGTGGTCTCAGCATGTCCCACCTCAAGTGCTATTGTTTCCTCTGTTTATTAAATGTGACTTGCCACTCAGCATTCTTTATACTTCAACTGTATGGGAAATTTAACTTATAATTTGAAATATTTTCCTGTATTATTTAGGAGTGTAAAACTTTCACTTGATTTGCCTCCTACAGAGGATTTTAAAGTAACCAAGCTGCTCCAAGCCAGGTCTGTTGCACAGTTTTCCAGAAACTTAGCATATTAATTTGACTTAAAGGCCTAGAGAATGAGGATTGACATAAATGTTTTCATTGTTTTTCTTTTGGAATTAAGAGTAAAATAGGTAAGTCAAAGTTCCTGCAATATGGTCATGCCCGAGGGAACAAAAATACATTGAAAATATTGTGGAAAGGAGAGTTTTAACCATGTATCAATTGAAGAATGGAATAGCAAACCAGGTAATAGAAGAAAAACAAATTATTTGATGGTGGCCTTTGCTATTCAGCTCTTCTTATGTAATAACAATTATTGGCTCATCAGGATCAGGTTATTATTAAAATAACTGTACTGCGTACAAGGAATTTCTACAAGTTTGAAGTGATCGGTGGTTATGGCCAGTGAACAAATCGGTACTAGTGAGATGATCTGAATGTCCTGCCTGCGTTTCCACCAGGAAAACGTAGCTAAACTTCAGCTGAACTTACTTGTTAACTATACAGGTTTTATATTTTAAGTGAGATTGCTGAAGTCTGATGGAGACACAAATAGGAACTAGAGTCACAGTTCTTCTGGACATGTACTCGAGTTGCTCTGCTTATCGGAATAATTTCATGAGCTTTATGTGCACTGTTTGTGTGTTGGGGAAATACCAACATTATGAAAAGATTTACATTATTGGACCCTGAATTCTTTTTGTGCTTGACAAGTCTCTTCTGTAGAAGGTAATGACATACACATACAACTGTCTTTAGGCTTCTGAACAACTCCATAGTCTCTAAGATAGACTCTAAATGTGTATGCTATTATGCATGATTATTAATCATACCTTCTGGAATTATATTAGTTTTATATGTGGACATTACTGCACTGAGTTCTGTGTACTAGCACAGAGATTTAATAAGGTGCAGTAGGATGAAAGGAGAACGAAATGTGAGGATTGTTATTTTACAGAATTCTGTGTGATATTGATTTAACCATTTTAGAAAAAAATCTAGATTAGACTTGGCAAAAATCTCGCAATCTTACCTTAGGCAAAATGAGTTTGTTTCAATATGGAATGTGTTAGCAGGGTTTTTTGTTGTGCTTTTTTGTGTGGTTTTTTTAAAAAAATAATTTCTGCTTGTGTGTGTCTAAGTATGCGTAGCCTACTTTTGAACATGCTGAACTGCTCCTGGAATAGAAAGTTTTATCTGAAAATGAAAGGGGTAAAAAAAGTTGATGAGAACATTTTTATTACATTTATAATATTTAATTACTATCTTATTAAAAAAATACAACCCATCAGTACAGTAAATAGATTTTGCTGAGATCAAAACCAAATAACCTGTGATAGATCACTTCTGTTTGTATTTTAACCTACAGAAATGTTGTGACATTTTATAGGTATAATGTTTGGAAGTAAGCGACATCATTATTGACTGAAAAATCATTTATTGGTTTTACAGAGTAATGAATTGAACTGCTTTTTATATTCTGTAGCTAGCTCAAATATATAGTACCTTTTAAATATGTTGTACTTTTACTTTCTGTAGGCAGTGCTCAATTTTTCTAAATACTGTGAACCAGTGGTCAGAGGAGAAGGTAAGCTTCTGTCTTTAATTTGGGCAGGTATATGAGAGTCCAGGTGCCCTCCTGAGGGTTTTGTGGAGGACTTTGCTTTGATCCTCATTGTGTTGCGACCATTTCTCTGGTCACAACAGTATTGCTTATTCCAGTTGCACCCAGTAGGCAGCATTTGCAGCAGAAGCAGTAGGTGACATTTATTGGTGGTGATGTATGGAAATCAGATGGAAGTACCATGAAAACTTGCTTCCCCCCTATAAATCTTCCTCCTCACTCAACCACCAGGACTTCTGCAAAATAATGGGATAAGTCTTTTCTCTGTCAAGGCTAAGAGGAGAAAACGAGAGCAGAGGTTCTGCCACACTGTCCCAGAGTATCTCAGAATAAACCATAGAGAAACAGCCTTGCATGGTAGCATGGGCTTGGAAATGGATGATGATGGTGCATCATCCTAGTACAGCATGTCAGGGTCAGGATGTTAGACATAATGTCATGCCTGTGACTGTTCAGGTGTGAGAGACAGAGTTTTAGTGTTCTGTGAGTTAAATGTTTAACAGAGTTGATTCTGGCTTGGTGCAGCAAATGAACGTGACACTCGCAAACTCTGGAAAAATATTGAACCTCATTTGAAGAAGGCAATGCAGACTGTTTATCTTCGGGAAATATCCAGGTACTTTGGGGAATGAGGGCTTGTTTATTTTGTTCTTGTTGCTGTTTTTAACAAGCTTCCTCTCTAAATATTTACTCTCTCAATTATGGTTCACAGCTAGTGCTTCTTTTTTGCTAGGTAGAATCTTTTTTTTCTCTTCAACGTGCATTTCTTTCCTGCCCTATAATGTTAGAAATAGGGTATCTCAGGAAGAAATTTTTAAACCAAATGGTATTTCTAGCATATAAAATATTTAAAAAGTAAAGCAGTGGCAGCAGGTTGTGTTCTCTTTTTCACTGATGATCATGCAGATAGATCCATTTTCTGTCACGTATGAAACTGCCAAGGATAGGAATCCACCACCAGAATATACAGGCACAGTTTAGAACAAACTTGTAAAGTTGACTTGGCAGATCTTCACTGTACCAAGCATGCATGCAAGCCTCAAAATTCTTGTGAGATGTTACAGATTTTGAACATCTGTGTTCCTTATCTTTGTTTGCTAGATCTAGGTTTATACATTAACTGTGCTTTCTGACCCCTTGTTTTATTGTCCAAGGAAAAAAATTTCATTATATGGAATTACCATTTTTGACAGCATTAAAAGCTGGTGTCCTGCTAATGCGCTGAGTTTTAGATTCCTAGTTTGTTTCTTAAGTTGCCAGACTGCGAGAAAAAACATATGTTCTCGTTCATTTTTAATAGTAATAATCGGCTCAGGTTTAATGTCTTCTCCATCTTTAAGACATGTGATTCTGATATTACACCATGTAAGGAGAGATAATTCAGTACTGTTTGATTTCTTTCCTTTGAATGTCATTGAGGCCATAGAGTATTCTGGTAACTGAATCTGGGTGTGTAGTAGAAGTCTTTGCTAAATGTTTTGAAAAAGTGATCATTCCTTCAAAAAGAGAATTGATTTTGCTCCATAAGAGCTAGGCTTCACTGTACAGTAAGACATTATTCTATTTCCCTCAAGTATGTATTTATACTCGATATTGATCTTCATTACACAGTCTACTCGGGATCTTCCTGACTTTTTATATTGTGTAATTGCCTACTCTAATTAGGATGTAATATGAGATTATGATATAAAATAGCTTATGAATTGTTTCCAAATAGTAGTTTTCTCTCTTTACAGTTTTCTTTTATTATAATTTTGAGATTTACTGGGTTTTTATTATAAATTTTGGCTTTCTGCGTAAAGGTTCTAGGATTTACCTATGTGTACTAGTAAATACTTGAGGAATTAAAATGACCATGTCATTTTTTCTGGCAACAGAACTGTAATTACTCTGGGGTTTTCTTCAAGTTGTAAGTTATAGCAAGAAATCTTCGTTATTGGCTTTTGTACTGCCTGGACTGAGAGGAAAATCAAACTTTTTTTTCCTTATCTTTAAAATAGACAAACACTTTGCTGATTGATAATTTGGCTGATCATTCGTTATAATTTGAGTATTACATCAGCTCTAACCAAATTGTTTTCCAAAGTTTTGTGGCTTATGGCTGACAAACCCTAATTAAACAGGATTTTAGTTGAGGGACTGTCCATAAAGAGCTTTTTTTTAAAAAAAAAAATCACTGGTGCTTTAACAGAGCTGTTTTTTTATCACCTTATTGTATACAAAATGATGATGTAAAATCATGACAACTCTAACAATGTCACTCCTTAAGGGAAGTTTTAAAGTGAAATTTTTTGCTATTATTTAGGAAAACACTGAACTACTTGCAGATATTTTTCACTGACGAAATGTTCCATCTTGATATATTAAATTTTTTCAGTGAGCAATGAATATTGCTTTGTTTTTTACATAGACTTCAAAATTAAATTATGAAGTAATTCTAGTATTGTTCTCACTAGCATAAACAGTTATTAAGCAGATAAAAAAATCAAAACTGTCAGTGTTTTTACTTTTTATTAAATTCTGCATTGTTCTTGAAACTTAGAATGCTATTGATATGTCCTTACTGATGGTAGTTGAGTGGAAAGAGATTAGTATTTTACAATTAGCTTGTACTCCCTCTTATACCTTAATATAACATTACTTTCTGCAGTTTTTTCAAACACATGTAGTCTGCATATTATTGAAAGGTGTGTGCAAGGTAGTAAGACTTGGTATTTTTAATTCTCTTACTGTATCCTGGCCAGTGTCGTAAAATTATAATATACATACACCACGCAGGTAGTTCTCTCTGAAAGACTAACAAATACTTTATACCTTTGCATTATCTGTCTTTTAGCTCACAGTGGGAGCGCTTGCAGCATGATGACGGAGAACCTGGGCAGTTGAAAGGTATCGGATACAGTAACTCTGTAGGGGCTTGTAATATGTAATAATGTATTGTAATATGTAATATGTATTTTTCAGATTGACTTGATTGCTGTTGTCTCATAATGTGTGATTGAAATTATATAGATGAGAGTACATGTCAGCATTCAGTTACAGTTCAGGCCAATCATGCTTTTTGAGAAGGTGTTCTACAAAACATTTTAACTGTTTTTTCCCCTAGCACATATCCTAGGTTTAATATTTTTAAAGGGTCTTTGTGGGTAAAAGCAGGTTTCTTCAAATCAATATTTCTGATGTAGGAATGGATGAGGAATGGGCTGACCTCTGATGGTCAAACTTCAAATCAAGCAAAGGAGGCAGGAGACCTGCATGGATGATCAAGTTGCTTCTAGTGAAACTCAAATGGAAGAGAAAGGTCTATGGAATGTGGAAAGAGGGACAGGCCACTTGAGAGGAATGCAGTTGTCAGAGCATGCAGGGAAGCAATGAGGAAGGCTGAGGCCCATCTGGAATTAAATCTGGCAAGGGATGTGAAAGACAACAAGAAGGGCTGCTTCAACTACATCAGCAGCAAATGGAAGACCAGGGAAAATGTGGGGCCACTGCTGAATGAGGTAGATGCCCTGGTGGTGGGTGATGCAGAGAAGGCAGAATTACTGAATGCCTTCTTTGCTTCAGTCTGTACTGCTAAGTCTGGCCCTCAGGCATCCCAGTCCCTGGAGGTAAGAGAGAAAGCCTGGAGAAAGGAAGACCTTCCCTTGGTTGAAGAGGATTGGGTTAGAGATCATTTAACCAAACTGGACACCCACAAATTCCTGGGCCCCAATGGCACGCACCCACAAGTGCTGAGGGAGCTGGC